CTCTCTCTCTCTCTTTCTTTCTTTCTTTCTTTCTTTCTTTCTTTCGACATAGATTCTCTGTGTAGCTCTGGCTGTCCTGTTGCTCTGTAGACCAGGCTGGCCTTAAACTCGGAGATCTACTTGCCTCTGCCTCCCAAGTACTGGAAGTAGAAGTGTGCACCACCACGGTCCAGCTCTGAAGTTTGCTATAGTTACAGGTCCTACAGACCACTACTGAGGCTCACTCAGCCGGTCATGAGCTCTCCAATTCCCCAGAAACCCAGGAACTATAAATACAATTTAGATTGACTAAATGTGTTTGCTTTTTCCAAGTTCAAGGCATTAGTTTGGAAGAAATATTGTGATGCAGCTTTTAACACAATTAGATTTTGAGTCCATCTCAGCTTGCCAGTCACATGAAGTAAGTCACATTACTAAACCTTAATAAGGGTGTTTTTTCTCTTCTGAATTAATAGTAATGACATCTATCTACCGAGGTTCTTCTGAGAATGAATGCATGAAACAAATATTTATAAAAGTGGATTAGGTACTTCAATAGGTACCTGGAATACAGGCATCTTAACCTTCTTGCAAGCCAATGGACTACACAGACCCAGACACACAAAAGGACAGTTAAAATATAATGTGAGAACACAGTTACAATAAATGACTTAAAGAGTCACTTCCTGCTTTACCAGGAAGACGTAAGGATCCCAAGGATCAGAAAAGGCTTCCTTGAGGTATAGAAGGATGTTAAGGGAGCAGTATGTTAAGAGATGTATGTTTTAGGACAGCATACACAAATGTTCTAAGGAAGAAAGACAACAGAAAATATGAAAACAGGCTTGCTATCATACAGAAACAGGAAGGATTTAGACTACTATTAGTTATTGTTGTTCTTACAATTAACTTAATTAATGATAATATTTTCTGGAAGGGCTGTCCATCAATAGGCTTGCTTTTAAGTTGTTGGTCTGAAGCAACCAGGCTTCAGAGTAGCAAAGACCCTAAAAGCTTGTGAACAATATAATAAAGGACCAAGTTTGAGTTTCAGAAGAGATACAGATATAAAAATATCGGGGGGTGGGGGGACGGGGACATGAAGTTAACATCAACCACTATTAAACACCATTTATTCCTAAGTGTACCTTTTAGTGCCTACTCTGTGGTTTGGAGCAATATCAATTGTATCTGTGGCAGAATCATGTCTCACAGCAAGTCCCAAGTCTGCAATACAACAGGTTCCATTTTTCTTCACCAAGATATTCTTTGATTTCAAATCTCTATGGGCAATAGCCGGTTTTCCTAGAAAACCAGAAGTTAGACATGACTACAAACAAGAGACACCATTCACAATTTACCTTTAGGTCCAAAAGCCTCACTAGTCCCAGTGTGAAAGCGCTTGAGCTGTATCACCTATAACAACTAGACTACTACTAAACTCACCAAACCATTGTGGCAAAAGGGATGAAATTGTTTAAATCTTCATAAAGCTAAGAACTAAAAAAATAAGGTGAAAAAGTCGTTGGTTTTTTTGTTGATCTCTAAGTAAACTTTCAGATTTCTTACATTTTCACTGAAAAAAAAACATTCAAATTTAAACCACTACATATCTCAGTTAGGTTTCACATTTTGAATATGCATTATACTCACAGGAATATATGCTTAAATAGCAGAACTGTAGAAACTGTTACCTTGGGTACCAACAATCTCCATGTGAAGATGGGCAAGACCACTTGCTGTGGACAGAGCAAGTTTGATCATTCCTTCCACAGTAACAGTGTATCTATTCAAGTAATCGAAAAGGGATCCATGTTCATGATAATCTGACACCAACCACAGCTGAGTCCATGTCCCATTGTCTGCACATGAGAACACACACATTTTAGTCGGGCTGCTGAACACTTGTAGCTTACTTGAGTTGTCAGCACTACCACTCTTGAACATACATCTGTAACATGATGCCACCTTAACTTTGCATGAATTCCTTCTGTTTTCTTACATTTAGTTTTTCTACACTTTTATGTGCATATATTTCAGACCTTCAGAGTATACCCCCTATTTGTGAGATAAAGCAATGATAAGTAGCTCCATTTAAGAGAAAAGGAATCCTATTTCAACAATGTTCATTTCCTCATCCTACAGAGATAGTGGCAGAGCTGGGACTCCTTAGTGCCTAAGAAGACACCTGGGCCAGATTAGTTCACGATCCGTGCTACTCTGGAGGAAGAAGGGCAGCAGCAAGTGAAGATAAGAAACATCTGGGGAGCCAAGTATGGCCGTAATAGCATGTGACAAAACTGAAGTGAGCTTTGGTGAGAACTGACAAGCTTTAGTGACAGACTGTACAGTTCTCAAAGATGCTAGACAAGATGATCATAATTTCAATGCTGCTATCTCAGTAAAACAAGAACAGCGGTACCTATGATGTTGAGACAGGAACTGAAGTGTTGGAAGAGAAGGCTAAAGAGTCTAGGACTGAACATCATTGTACAAGGTGATTTGGAACCTAAACAACTTGAAATGTGGGTGCTAAGAGTTTCTTGGTAAGCTGATGTATGCATCTGAAATGTAACATTAAGGTCAACAGTTAGGCTCCTAGGCTACACTTGTCCAGTAAATGCTATTTAACTTAGAAGTAGATGGGAAAACAAGGAACAACACAAGACAGTAAAATATATACCCTAAGTCATGTACTGGCTAGTTTTATGTCAGTCTGACACAAGCTAGAGTCATTTGGGACCAAGAAAACTCAACAAAGAAATGTCCCCACTAAGTTGGCCTGTGGACATGTCTGGGGAGTACTATTTTTGATTAATAAACCATGGAGGAGAGACTCATTGTGGGAAGTTCCTCTGGTGGTCCTGAGTGCTAAAATAAAGCAACTTGAGCTAGCCATGGGAGGCAAACCAGTAAAATGTCCCTCTGTGACCTCTGCTTTAGTTCCTGCCTCCAGTTCCTGCTTTGACTTCCTTTAAAGTAAACTGTGATTGTGATATGTAAGCTGAAATAAATGTTTGTGTCCTCAATTTGCTTGTAGTCATGGTGTTTTAACCCAGTAATAGAAAAACATAACTAAAACAAGTTATATTGACACAGGCAGGAACCCAGGTTCTGTGTGCTATTGATTACATGGCCTCAGACAAACTTCTCAATGGGCCTATGTTTTTTCTTTTATACAAGAACAACAACTTACTTTGAAGACTCTTAAGACGTTTAAAGAGAATACAGAACTAGATATCTTTTTAAAGTAGGTAATACAATGTTTGTCACATGAGAATTTAAAATGTGCTGTTCCCTACTAGCTATAAACAAAAGAAAACAAGGAAACATAAATAAGATCTATATTTTATAGGCACATGCCTTTAATTAACACTTGGGAGACACAGGAAGGAGGCCAGCCTACTCTACAGAGTGAACTACAGGGCGACAGAACTATATAGAGGAAACCTTGTCTTGGAAGAAAAGCAAAAACCCAAAACCAAACCAAACCAAACCAAACCAAAAAAAAAAAAAAAAACAAAAAAAAAAAAAACAAAAACAATGGGGGTGTCAAAAATGATAGGGTTTCATAATCTGGAGGAGGTTCCTTTCTTTCTTTTTAATTTTATCTTATGTTTGTTGAGTATTTTGCCTGAGTGTATGGCAAAATTACCACATGTGTGTTTGGTGTTCATGGAGGCCAGAAAAGAGCAATGGATTCCCTGTAATTGGAGTTACACAGAGACAGCTGAAAGCCACCATGCAGGTGCTTAAGAGTTGAACCTGGGCTCTCTAGAACATTCAGTGTTCTAAGTTGTTGAGTCTTCTCTTTAGCTCTATGCAAAGTAGTTCTTGTTACTGCCAAAAGAGCTCAAGAGATTAGTGATTCTAGTTTTTTTTTTGTTTGTTTATTTTTGTTGTTTTTTTTTCCCTTCCTTTTCTCAGCTGTTCTTCATGCATTCCCTAAAGTCTTTTTCTTGGTATGGCTACACCACTAGCTCATGTCCATGTCTGTTAACCATAACAGTGTTCTGAAAGACACAAAAACACAACAGGTAGAGAACACAACAGGAAAGGAAGATTTCCTGAAGTATCTAACCAGAAGAAGAGACTGCACATATAAAGAGAGCTGCACAATGGGCTGAAGAGATGACTCAGTATTTAAGAACCAATACTGGTCTTGAGGAGATCAGAGTTCACTTCCCAAAACCTGTATCAGGCTCACAACTGCCTATAATACCAGCCCAGGAGAACCTATGCATATGGACTCCTTGGGCACCTGTATTCAATCACATATACCCGCACACAGATATACTCACATACATATAATTAAAAATAAATCTTTTTATTTTCTTTTGTTTAAGACTAGCCTAGGCAAAAGTAAGTAACCAAGACAAGAGGATGAAGATGAAGATGAAGAAAAAAGAGAAGTGAGAGGGAAAGCCTAGGTTCTGCCTGGTGCACCTAGTAAAGAAAACAGTAGTAGGGTCAGTTAGTTCCTGTCATGACCACCAGATGACAGCATCCACTTGATTGCAGCATGGACAAATGACACTTCAGGGCACAACAGGCTCAGTGGTTTGCACTTGTGGCTGTAACCTGAAACATGCCTAATAGAATCCTGAAAGAAGTTTAAGGTTCAAACAAAAATGAGTCACCGACATAGTAGAATTTGAAATCACAAATTTGGGTAAGCCCTCTAAGGGAACAATTACTATTTATAGAATCAGAGTCTTCTTACAAATTAATCAGAATAATAAGATTGAGAAAATAAGTAGATAGTAGGAAATAAGAATAGGCGAATACAGTGGCTGTAATCTCAAAACTGGGGCATGGAGCTAGGACAATTATCAGTTCCAAGCCAGCTGTGGCCATCTTTAAAAAAGAGAGACTAAACAAACAAACAAACAAACAACAATAACATCAAAACCCAAACCAAATCAAAAAGAAAGAAAGAAAACAAAAATATAGTAAGAAAACTGTTATAACAAGAGTTGGAAGAGGGAGTTAAATAGTGCCAGATAGAAGGAAGTTAAGAGCCAAGACTACAGACTGATCACTACTTTGCTTGTTTTTCAATTAGATACTGAATTGTTAGGACCCACTAATAATCACTACCTCCCATCCATTACTGTTCCTACCACAATCACACATAAGTGTCCTGATGTGACAGCCTAAGAAGTTCACAATAGAGCTAGTGTCTACTTTATGAAACCAACAAAACTGATGAGCCTCAGCCTCAGCCTCAGCCTTTGTAATGGGTAATCTTAACTGTTAACTTGACTGTAATCTAAGATGCTTCAAAGACAAACCTCTAGGTGTGAATGTGAGGGTGGTTTCAGAGAAGATTGAATGAGGTGAAAAGACTCATCTTTAAGATGGATAAAACTATTCCATGGCTACATCCTGCCCCCTCTTCCTGATTGCAGACACAGTGTGACCATCCACCTCAGGCTACAGTCTTGTCACCATGCCTTCCATCATGATCCCTTCAGATAAAAACCAAAAGAAACCCTTCCTTCTCAAAGGTATTTTGTCATAGTGATAAGTTAACTAATAGAGCCTCTAAATCTAATGGCATGCTATAAACTTGAAAATACAGAGAAGCAAAAAAAAAAAAATAAGTAAAACCCCTCATAGTACCTCATAGTACCACCTGACATTAGAAAAAGGGAAGGATGGCCACGACAAGTCTCTCTCACCAAGCCACAAATGACAGCTGTTGTGATTTTTTGTTGCTGTTTCTTTAATGATTTATGTATTTTTATTTTATGTGCATTGGTGCTTTGCCTGCATGTATGTGTGGGTGAAGGTGCACAGTGGTGAGCTGCCACACGGGTGCTAGAAACTGAACCCAGGTCCTCTGAAAGAACAGCCGGTGCTCTTAACCTCTGAGCTATCTCTCCAGCCCCTCACTGTTTGTTTTTAATAGGAAAGCAGGAGATATATTTATTTGTTTAGGACGGCAAAAGTTGTGTCACAATGTAAGTCTCCAACAGATGTCAGAAGAGTAACTGTGGCATTAAGGTATTAAGAAAAGCATGAAGAAGAAGCAGGGTCTCAGGTCAGCATGTTGTGCCCTGACCCCATCTCACACTTTCACTACACTGTCTGTAGTGTTCTTGCTCCAGCAGCAAGGCAATTTAGGAGAAATCACTTCCCAGGTTTGCTTGAGCTTCCTTACAGAACTGAGCAAGTATTTAACCCCTGCCAGGTAAGAACAGAATACTCTCCTCAAAAATAAGGTTATTTGTCAATGATATTCTGTTATGCTTGCAGACAGGAACCTAGCATAACTGTTCTCTGAGAGGTTCCACCAAGCAGCCAATGGAAAGAGACTCAGAGACCAACAGTCGAACATTAGATGGAGCTCAGGGAGTCTTATGGAAGAGTTGGGAGAAAGACTGAAGGACCCAAAGGGGACAGGGGCTCCACAGGAAGACCAACAGAGTCAACTAACCTGGATCCTTAGGGACTCCCAGACACTAAGTCACCAACCAAAGAGTGAACATAGACTGGACCTAGGCCCACTGAACATATGCAGCAGAAAAGCAGCTTGGTCCCCAACAACAGGAGCGAAGGCTCTTTAAATATGCTGCTTGCTTGACCGTGGATCCCTTTCCCCTAAATCAACTGCCTTGTCTGGTCTTAGTGGGAGAGGATGTGACTAGTCCTGCAGCAACCTGATGATGGAGAGGGTAGGGAGGATGTTATCTAGAGGGGAGGTCTCCCTTCTCAAAAGAAAAGAGAAGGAGGAATGGGGGATGGGTTCTGCATGAGGAAGTACTGGGGGGAGAAGGAGAGCTGATATTGGGACATAAAGTTAATAAAAAGAAAATAAATAAGGCCACTGTGAGTGAAGATGCAGCATAGTTGTAAAGCACCTGTCTAGTATATGCAAGGCAGGCCCGGGGCTTGAAATCACAGAACTGAATTGGGGAAGGCTAGTCTATACTGAGATGTCCTACTAATACAGCACCATGCCTATACTGAGCTGTCCTACTAACCCCAGTACTGGGGGGAGGAAAGGAAGAACTAATCTATGCTGCTGAGATGTCCTATAAACCAAAGCAGTGGGCATGTGGAGGGGAGCTGGTCTATACTAAGATGTCTTCCTGGTCTAACCTCAAATTATGAACAACCAAAGTTTATAGTATTTTCCTTCTATTTTATGACTATACTCAACAAATAGCCAGATTTAAAATAGCAAAGGTATATGACACTTTTATAGGTCTTTTTCTAATTTACAAATTAATAAAAGATTTAGAAATCCACTGCATGGGCCTGCAAGATGGCTCAGTGGGTTAAGATACTTGCTGCCAGTGTAATCCCTGGAACCCACATGGTAGAAGGAACACTCCACAAGTTATCCTCTGACTTCCACATGTGCACAGTGCCACACAAGATAATATTTAAAATATACTGTCATGAAGAAAATCTTAACAATGTCATATGTCTAAAAGATTGTATTTGACATAATTGATTTTACTATATTACAAATATACATTTTTCATCAAATCTGACAGTATTTAGTAGTTATCTCTGTAAAAACAAAACTCTTCCAGGCTTTGATATATTTTACTAAGAGTAAGGAAATGGGGCTGGTAAGATGGCTTAACTGGTGGCATGCCTGTCAAGAAGGCATGAGCACCTAAGTTCAGATTTCCATCACTCATGTAAAATCCAGATGTGGTAGTTCACACCTATAATCCCAGTGTTGGGCAGTTGGATCATGAGGCTTCTAGTAAATCAATCTAGACAAACAGATGTGTTCCAGGTTCAGTGGGAACCTATCTCAAAAATTAGGTGGAGAGTGAATGTAGAAGATAACCAGCATCCTCCACATGCACACATCCCTGCACAAGTATGTGCGTGTGCATGTACACACACACATATGCACACACACACACACACACAAAAGAAAACTTCACTGACCTTTGTTGTCTGCTGCTATAAATCCCAGGATATTTTCATGGCGTAACATTACCGTCTGATAAATCTCTGCCTCTCGGAACCATGAACGTTCTTCTCTAGATGAGAATATCTTCACAGCAACTTCTTCTCCCCGCCATTTGCCTCGCCAAACTTCTCCAAACCGACCTTTGCCAATGCTTTCTTGTAATACAATGGTCCTGGCAATTGTTCTTTGAACAAGCAGTGGTAAACCTAAACACAGAAATAAGCACAGCATAAATCATCAACAGTCTGTATCTCATCCCTGACAGCCTACAATAGAGACCCAGAGGCAGGTACTGCTCCTTTACCTTTGCCTTGTTGGAAAGACAGACAACTTTTGCCTTTCCAATCCCAAAAGTGGGGAAAAAAAAAAAGTAAAGACTGAAAAAGAATCCAGAGACACCTGCCTAGAGATTTGGGGATATAAACTGAACTTTTCCTTTAAGGGTCAGGACAAAAGGGGATCCCTTGTAAGAAGATTTTTCTTTGAGGCTCATTTGCACTAATTCAGAATCAATGGAGGAACCAGGAAAGTCCTAACATACTTTCTATTATCTCTCTAGTACTTGGTCTATTCCTGCCCAGCCCAACCTTTTACTGCCTCACTCTCATCCTGGACTAAGGAGTCCCTATGGCTGCCTTGGGAGTCCTGGCTTAGTGTGCAAGCCTTCATGTGTTCTAGCAGTCAGAGAAAGAATACACTACTGAGTATTCATTGCCTCATTTTACTAAAGGCTTCAAATCATAGAAAAATCAGTTTCCTTATGCACTTAGAGTGACAGTATGTATATGCAAATATACCAATATATTATAATTTCCTTAAAATAAAGATGTCCACTATCACATAAGTGTTCCATGCATTAACGTGGCTTTATGCTTCAGAGCTACACTATTCCTCAGTCACAATTCCTGTTCTGAAACTCCTTTACTATCATTTATTTTATAATCAGCCAGATTTTTGTTTCCTAATCTTCATTATGGCTACAAATTTAGCCCTTATGTGAAACTGATCAATAGTTTTCAAAGGATAGTAAGCCATTCAAGACCTCAGTAAACCACATTTAAGTATTTTTACCCAAAGTATCTGTTATATATTTCTATAAGAAAACAGAAGTCCAAAGAGGAAATATGGACTGACCAAAGTCATAGAGCATTTGTTAGAGGCTAGATCTGTTGATTACTAGCCATGCATCAAATTCAAAATTGTTTTTCTTAAAATTATTTATGTATTTTATGCATATGGGTATTTTGTCTATACATACATCTACATACCAGAAGAGGGCATTGGATCTTGAAACTAGTTACAGATAGTGTGAGCCAACATGTAGGTGTTTTGAATTGAACTCAGAACCTCTGGAAGAGCAGTGGTGCTCTTAACCACTGACCAATCTCTCTAGTCCCCAAAGTCCAAAACTGTAAAGTAGGCACACTTCTCTTAGCCTTCTTCCAAAAGAAAAAAAAAAAAAAAAAAAAAAAAAAAAAAACCAAGGTATTTTTCTCTTTAGTCTAAAAGCAAAGTATTATTATGCTAAAATCTATCTCAGGATGATCCTGACAATTAGCCAGTCTATTTCTGAGTCCACAAAAATCAACAAACAAAACTGAGAAAAACAAATATCATACCACATTCACTAACATGACTACTATTTTTGTCTGTTTCTTAGTTTGAAATTTGCTTTTAAATGTAAAAAGTTACTAAAAATGCAATAGTTTAATTTTAAACAATAAACTGGACTGGTCTGATCACTCAGTGGGTGAAGGAGCTTGCCACCAAACCTGATAACATGAGTTTGTTTCCCAGGATCCATACAGTGGAAAGAGAGAACGACTCGTACAAGTTATCCTCAAACTTCCACATGTATACTGTGGCTGGCAGGCAGGTGTGTGCAAATATGTGTAGACACACACACATACACACACACACACATTTTTGTTAAAACAGCAATTTTGTATCATGCTAAAGAAGCTAATCAGCTTCCAAATTCCAAGAGGACAGTCTCAGAGCACAGTCTGCAGAACAGTAGCTGCAGCTCTTAACCACAGCTCTGTCTTTGTAAGAAGAGAGTCCTACTTTCTTCCTCCCAGAAAAGCAAATATCATTCTATGGGGAGGATGCTTGGAAACCGACACAACTGTGGAAGTGACTTACTTGTTTCAGTGGTAAAGCCAAGCTCCAATTTATCCATACTAAACTATCCAGGCAGACAGACAGCAAGCTCAACAGCTTTCAATAGGCTGCAATCTGGTATAGTATTCATATGACTCTGAAGTTTTTACCAATTAAGCCAAATGGCCCAGCCAATTAATTAAATAAAATAACAAAACTGACTTATTAAGAAATAAGTAAACAATAACATTACCTGATCCAGACCCTGATGTTGTCATATCATAAATTAAATCTTTCAAGGTGGTGCCCTCTGAAATGAAAGGGCGATCTAGTGATGGATCCTCTTCGTTTGGCACGCGATGGTGAATGACAGTGCGGTTATGGCAGATATAGACCATCAGCATAAGTGCAATGCAGACGAAGCAGACTGGACCAGCAATGACTGCTGCCAGCTCCACAGGACCCAGGCCAGGTGACTGCTTTTCTGAAAAAGGTCCTCAAATGAAATAAACATCAAGAGAAACAAAACACTGTAGGTAGCATTCACATTTCCCAAACCCTCCATATTTCCCCAAGGGTCCACTACTATCATTTAGTCACACAGGGCTCAAGGCAGGATCAAGCTCCCTCTGTCTTCTCTCTCTGGCCTCCCTTTTAAGACCATCAGCTGTCAGTAACCTCCCACTCTTCCTGAGCAGCCCCAGCCCACCTTCTAATTCATCGTTGAGTTCATCAGCTAACCACCATCCTAGACCTCCTTCCGCACTTGTCACCTCAGGTAAACTAGAAAAGGAATCAATTATTTGAAACAACTACTGATAACTCATTTTTTATAAAGCACTTTGGTCTTTTCTTCTTATTCCAAGTCTACTGCAGGCTTATAGCAGAGAAAAAATATATAAACATAGTTAATAAAGTTTTTACAAATTATCAACTTCCTTGTGAACCTTCAAAGGCTCATGCCTATGTATGTATATGGATATTTTGCCTATATGTATGTTTGTGCACCATATCCATGACTGGTGCTTGAGGTCTGAAGTGGGCATCAGATCCCATGAACTGGAGTTACAGTTGTGAGCCACCACATGGATGCTGGGAATTAAACCTGGGTCCTCTGAAAGAATCACAAACACTCTTAACCGCTATGCTATTTTTGTAGCCCTTCTAGAATCTTTTTAAAAAGTATTAAATACATGGTACCACTAGACATCATATACAAGTAATTTACACTTACAGATCATAAACAAGGTAGACTATTACAAAATGAAAACATTTAGACTGTTTGATGCACTAATTTCTGCCCATTAAAAGGCTGTTGATTGGATTGCCGTAAGATATAGGTACACCATACAAGAAGTGAGACATTCACTGAGGACAAGGCAAGGAAAATCCTAACAACGTGTTGCCCTATGAGATTCTAGAATTCACTTTGAAGAGGCTACCCTGGCAGGCATAGCAGATCTCACTGAGAGTCTCCTGGCACTGCTTTCTCTAACACACACCTAGGAGTCAGGCTCCTGGCTACTCATAAATCTACAACTATGGAGAGGGTAACTCTCTGCCTGTACCCTCAACAAGCCAGGCTTGATGATTTCTGTAAACACTTGCAGTTTTAAATTTGTAGGCAGTCTAGAAGCTTTTCTTTTAGCATGTTGGAGGAAGGAAGAGAAGGGTGCTAATACAACAACTTACCTGTAGTTGGGAGTTCTATTTTATTGCAGTGGTCCTGATTGCAGCAATACGTTGTAGTAACTGCCCCTGTTTTTGAAGACGGTGCACAAACAAATGGCCTGTCTCGAGGAATTAGGTCGATTTCAGCTATACACATACTATTGTGTATAACTTTGTCTGTGGTCTCAGTGACTGAGACAAAGCAAAGACCATCCGTCTCACAGGTAAAATTATCCTTAGTACAGAGGTGGCAGAAACATTGTAATGCTAGAGAAAAAGAAAGATTTTATTAGAAAAAACGAGTACCAGGGTTAAGTTTAAAAGTTCAACATTTACACTACTGCTGTATTTTTATTTATTATAACAATTTATGCATTGTTCAAATAACAAACTTTACTACTCTTAGAATGTCCAAGAATTACACACACATAGAGGCCAAGGTAATTTAGGCCTAGCTCTTCCCCTGCCACCAAAATTTGCTTCCTAGAAAAAAATCCAAAAAATTTCATCTAGATAAAGCCTCATTTGCCCTCCCATTTGAAACACGGTGCAGTTACACTTGTTCCTAGTACTAAATTACACAATCACACACACACACACACACACACATACACACACACACACCTCACAAGTGATTGCAGAGCAATGAGTGAAAATCGTGTCACAAACTCATTACAGGCTGGAAACACCATTTCAGTAGATTTGTGGTAATGAAGTAATAGAAATAGATTCAGATTGGGCCACAGGTTTTCTATTCATCCTGTGCAACCCTACACCGTGTACTCCCAGCTGGCATAGGGAAGATCACTCCAGCAACAGTTTATATATTCTAGCCACATGGAACCTAGTTATCTATTAAATGCCCACTGTATCTGTTAGATCTTGTGACTCAACTCTAGGAATGACCCCTTTATGGAAGTGTCTGCTGTCACCAACATCTTCAGTCATACACAGCCATATCCTCTAACGGGGTTAAGTGCTTCCTCAAAGTATACACAGCTTACCAGAAATGCTGATTTTCTTACTTCTTCCCCTAAGAAAATATAAGTTCTCTGAATTCAGAGACCCATATTCATCCTGGAAATCCACCATATATGGTTCCATGCCTGAGGGCAGTATTCAAAACTTCTTGCTGAATGAACATAGGTAATCCAATTACTGACTGGCAAGGGAAAAGCCAGTTAGGAGGAATGGCCAACAATGATGAGACCAGAAAGGTTAATTCTATATAGAAAAGGAGTAGTGAGGCAGACAGCAGTCCAGAAGAAAGCTATCTTCCTAAGTTTGCTTAGCAGGCCTGAGTTAAACAACTCCGCATATTCACAAGAATAGCCTATCTTCAGAACTGTCCTTGACTGGATGTGAGTGCTGAGCCTCTGGGACATGCTCTCTGATAAGAATGTTTCTGTATGTATAAGGCTTTGGGTCACACAGTACCAATTTGACCAGATAGTTTGTACTAACAATGTGATTCACAGAAAAGATCTATTTTTGTTTGTTGGAATGGAGGCAGTTAAGCCCTTACTTAGCTCAGCTGTTATTCAGACTATAAACCTACAGATTGTGATAGCTAATCTAGATCATCAACTCGATGGGGTTGAGAACTACCTAGGAGATTTGTAAAGCACTTCTCTGAAGGCATTTCTGGGAAGGTTTTGGGTTGAGGTGTGGGGGCCTGCCCTGAGAGAGCCAGAGAGCCAGAGACAGACTGAAAGACCCATTTAAGATGCTCTGCCACGCCCTTCCCAACTTGATAAATGAAACCTCTAAAACTCAGTAGACTAAGCCCTCCCTTAAGGACGGATAGCAATCCTTAATTTGTTTCTGTCAGATATTTTGTCACAGCAATGAAAAATCTAACTAATACAATGGCTGGTGACTGATCCTCAGTAAAACCCTGGACACCAACTAAGGTTCAAGTGGGCTTCACTGGTTTGCAGTGCTTTGTACATACTGTCATATGCTAAGAGAATGAAGGGTCCTGCTCCACTGGGAGAGACTATCTAGAAAACTGTACCTGTTCTCTGCCAAACTACAGCTCAGATACCTTGCAGCTTTGTCAAACTTAAGCTCTACCTTTTCACTGTAGTACCTTGTATCCATGACTGTAACAGCTCTGAGTCTTCTTAGTGGCAAAAGAGAAACACAGCCTAGCACTCCCACCAAAGGCCTGGAGTTCCCCTCCCCTTACGGAAGGCAAAAAGGAATGAATCTCAAGGTGAGCAAGAGTGAATCAAAAGCAGAAAGTTTATTCAGGCAGAAATTCATCTAGGAAAAGAACAGTATACCTCCAAAATTATAAATGTGAGCTTCTTCAGGTATTTTTACTGTTCATATGATGAAATCAACAAGGCATAAAGATTAAACAAATCTTAAAACTTAAGTTTAAAAATACCAAATAATTATATGAGCTAGATTACATCTTTCTATTAACTTAGGGAACTACCTTTTTGAATTTTTGGCCTTATTATGTTTGGCAAATGCAGTATCACTAAGTACTGAACTACATATCCTGGAGCCTTTTTGCATTTTCAAACCCTTGAGACACAGGCTTAGTAAATGGCCTAGGTAGGCCTCCAATTTGCTATCTTCCTGCCTCAGCTTCCCAGTGGTATAGTGGTATTACAGGCCTATACAACCCTACCACTACCCCACTCCACAGAGAGTCATGAGAGCAGGCTAAGAATTCCCTTCTCTAAGTGGAATCATAAGGTGGTTTCATTAGATTTTGAAACATCTAAGCTCTAAGTAAGCATAGTTTGTTATCTGGAGCATCTCGCTTAAGATGATTTTAGGAAAAAAGTACTCTCTGTAACAATTCTGAGTTTATCAAATCATGTTTTTGATTTCTTTCCCTTCCCACAACCTTTTACTTTTTTCTGTCTTCAGACCCAGTCGGAAGTCACTGTGAGTCCTTCTACCAAATCTTCAAGCTAAGGGTGTGGTGTTTGGGAACCCTGAACTAACTTGATAGCTCAACTCTCAACTCAGGAACACCAGGTTCTTTTCAAGCATGCTTAAAAAGGTTTCTGCTGCAATCAGCTCAGTTGTCTATTATCTTAACAGACTAACAAAGTTTTATTTTGACTATTATAAAAAAATCTTCAGAGCCAATGAGATGCACTTGCCACATAACCTGCTGACGTGATCTCAATCTCAAAAACTTAAATAAAAGATAGAAAGAACCCCAAAAAGTTGTCTTCTGACCTCCACTATGTTCTCTTCCTCATACATAAATAATAATAGTAAACTGAAAGAATATTTTCTTTCTTCCTGGAGTTCATTTGACTTAACTCTACCCAAGTATGAAGGGAATTCAAGAAAAGTAAAAAGACAGAACACTATTAAAAAGAGATAAGTATAGTGTTGATTTTGGCAAAGAGACTTAGTTCTTCTCTCTGCCTAGTCAAATTCCACCTCTTCTCTGCCTCTTCCTCCTTCAACATAATCCTTCAAGACAATTCAATCCTATTCAGACAAAGATCCTTTCCACAAGCGATCTTAGCCTCTTCCCCCTCAGATTACTGGGGTTTGTTTCATTTGTTCCCACATACCTCTGCATATCTTGAAGATGCATGCAAATATGTCTATATAGTTTGTTGTTAGTGTCTCTCCTTACTTTAGGAAGGGCTGTGTTTAGCTGTTTTGTTTTATTCTGGACCTCTAGATAGTATCAGAAAAATACGTTTGCTAAATGGCTGCCCAAACAAGAGGTCACAAACATCAAGGAGAGAAATGCAGTCTATGAGTTACATACACATTTTCATTCCAAAGATAATCTATCAACAATGATAAACATTCTGGATCCTGAGTAACCGCCTATCTTCACAAGCATTACAAAGCTTTCACTGCTCTTTCTACAGTTATGTGAAAAGCTCATTCAGGTCAAGTGTCCTTGTGGCACACTTTACATACAGACAGCTTCACAGTATGTATACAATAAAAACATACAAGTAACACAGGAGCACAGCACAATGTGAACCTGGTAGAGTTGAAATATCCAGTGCTCTGAGTCCATGCAAGCCTTACACAAATCCTTTCTTTGTAGGACACCTTGCAAACAGTCACTAGCAGTATATAAGGCTGTGATAGTCAACAACACTTTTTGTTCTAACTTCCAACAATTGTTTTAGAAAACCATTTAGTGAAGATGTCAATAATAGTATAATGCAAGTCACATCTTCAGGTAAACAAAATATCTCTTTAAAACCGGTATTTGAGGACTGCTTGCTAGCAAGTGTTTTGGTTAGATATGAGATCCCATTATCCTGAACTTCCCAACAAGCCCTGAGGTCATTAATACTATCTTGAACATTATTGACGAGAGCAGCCACTTGCAGCATTCAGCCACTTGCAGCATTTATTATCACTGCAGTTAGAATAATGAAATAGATATAAAAATAGAATCAGACCTAAGGTCATCTTATTTCTACAATAAAACAGAAACATTAATTGTCACACCAAATAACTGTATTAATTTGCATTCTGTTATTTGTAGTTGTCTTTGATTCTAATTTACAGAATTAATTTATAATTGTAAATAAACCCAAAACACTAAGTTTTATGTTTTCTATTTCATGTCTACAATTTAAGGAACAGTGTGAAAAATATATTTTGCACTTTTCACTTCAAAGAGGTCTATATATGATGAAATTTTGAAAAAAGGCAATGCTGAAGGGCTTCTCTTATTAGTCTTCCAACAAGAAAGGTCACTGGACAATATAAACATCATATAACACAATGAGTACCCAGGCAAGGGTTTATCTCTTGAGGGAATTTTAAAATTCCATTTTTCCAGTCTAAATCAGATTACTGAATATAGGATTGCTATTATATGACATACAGGCTGGTTTTGTGTGTCAACTTGACACAAGCTAGAGTCATCACAGAGAAAGGAGCCTCAGTTGAGGAAATGCCTAAGATCCACCTATAAGGCATTTTCTCAATTAGTGATCAATGGAGGAGGGCCCAGCCTGTTTGAGTGGTGCCACCCCTGGGCTGGTAGTCCTCCGTTCTATAAGAACAAGCCAGGGGAAGCAAGCCAGTAAGCAGCACTCCTCCAAGGCCTCTTGCATCAGCTCCTGCCTCCAGGTTCCAGTCCTGCTTGAGTTCCTGTTCTAAATTTCTCCAATGATGGATTGTGATCTGGAAATGTAAGCCAAATAAAATCCTTTCCTCCCCAACTTGTGTTTCTTCTCAGTAATAGAAACCCTGACTGAGACATATGACATAGTAAAATAGTTTATGTAAATTAAAACAGAAACAGA